AAAAATTTTAGAAATTAATTTAAAAAAATAGAGATTCTCTGAATGTGTATCTCCACATTGAGTCAGTCAGAAGAACAATTTTACACAAATTGTTTCTTTATTAGTTTTTATTAATGAACAGTTCCTTGGATATTTTGGCCAGACTTTCTTGGGCTATGGTAGGTTAAAAATTATTTCTTAAAGTTATCCTCAGGTTAGTATCTCTGATAATTCTGCTGATGTGTTTAATATTGGTAGCCATCTTTTTCATTTTAAAGAGAATAAAAAATAAGGATACAGACTTTTAAAAGTATGATAAATTAAAAATGGTTGCTGTATTGCATTGATATCTTCAAAGTTTGTGTTCAAATTTCCAGACATGGGAATGCAAAATTGATCAAACAACTGAACATGAACTGTTCCTTTCAATGAAGCAATAGAGATTCGTACTATAAGTATTTTTTCTCATATATATATATATAATATATATTATATATATGATGTTGGGATGGAATATATATATATATATATATATATATATATATATATATAAATATATATATATATTCTCTTTTTCTTCTGTATTTCTTTTCTCTTTTCCCCCATGCTAGTTGTTCTTTCTTTTTAAGCAGTTTCTTTCCCTTTCACAATATGTATTATACCTTGCAGATTGTATTTATTCTTTCAGTTTCTTACTCTAGGGCAACAATATGATGTTGACACATGTGAATCTTATTTACTTCACTTATGACTATGGTCTGTAGTTGCATCCATTTACCTATGAAAGCCTCTAGTTATTTTTCTTTATAGCTGAGTAATACTGCATTGTATAAAAATACCACATCTTTTTTTATCCATTTCTCGGTTGATGGACATTTGGGTTGCTTCCAAGATTTAGCTATGACAAATTGTGCTGCTATAAACATGGTGTACATGTAGCACTGTGATATGATGTTTTCAGTTCTTCTGGGAAAATACCCAGGAGGGGAACAGCTGGGCTGAATGGGGCCTCCAGTCCTAGTTTTTTTGAGGAATCTCTGTACTGATTTCCATGGCGGTTGTAACAGTCTCCACTCCCACCGTCAGTGGAGAAGGGTTTCTTTTTCACCGCAGTCCCTTCAGTATTTGTTACTGTTTGACTTCTTGATGATAGCCTTTCTTCCTGGGGTGAGACACAGTCTTAGTGTTGTTTTAATTTGTATTTCTCAAATGACCAATGATACTGAACTTTTTTTCATATTTTTATTTGCCATTTGTATTTCTTCACCTGAAAAGTGTGTATTCATCTCAGATGTCCAGTTTTTGATTAAGTCTTTAAATTTTTAGGCTTGATTTTTAAAAATTAATTATTTATATATTCTAGATAGAAGCCTTTTGTTGGAGGAACTATTATTTAAAATTGTATCTCAACTCATGGATTTTCTTTTTACTCTGGTGGTAACCATCTGAATAATAAAAACAAAAAGTTCCATTCATGTAAATCAGCAGAGATAAATGATTGACATTTCTGTAGGTCTGGGTTAGGCAAATGAGAGCCCATGAACCAAAGCCAGATGAATGCCTATTAGTATAAACATAGCTTTTAAGAGAATATTTTGCTTTCAGGCCATAAGGGTTGAGAAGTTTCAAAAGCAACTATATGGACCACAAATCATTCTCTTTCTGGTCTTTCACATAAAAATGGACAAGGCGTGAGTCAATCCTAGGTCTCCTTCATGGCAAGCATAGGTTACTCCTGATTTTTACCAATAAAAGATAGAAGATAAAGCTGTATCTTTCTTATAATAAATAGCTAAATTAGTGACGGAGTTGGAAAAATCCAGAAGATTCCGTGGGCCTTCAGTAACAACTAGAAAGAAGTGGGAAACCATCCAAACTATTTTTTTTTTTTTTTAATGTTTTCTGAAAAGAATCCACTCTGCTAATGGATGAGGTGGAGCCTGTTTAAGGAGCTATGGTCATAGCCTGATATGCTAATGGGAAAAAGAAGATTGGATTCTGCTTTCTACACTTTTTAAGTTAAAATTTTTCTGAATGTGTTAGAAAATGTTTTGACGTATTTTAAAACTTAGAATTTAGTTCACATATCTTTCAGATGCAGTTTTTGATCATTTATCTTTTTAGGTAATGCCGTTTTGTTCACCTGATACTTTCCTCTTTTCGTTTGCATTTGAATTGTGGTAAAATTATGTGCAATTTAGAAGGAAAAGGTCTCCACCCCCTTTCCCTACTGCTTGAGGCTAATCATGCCCCTTCCTGGCTAGGCAGGGGTCAGTGCTAGTCGTTCCCTTGTCTCCGGCTTACTCCCGGAACTTTTGGTTCTTCTGCAAACTTTAGCCCAAACTGGAACAACAGGGACTGTGGTTGAAATTGAAATAGAGCATAAAAGCAGTCCTGATAGAGATTTATAAGAAATATATTGCTTCTGTCTTTAAGAAGAAGAAACAGTAAATCATTATTATTACTGGTATTAAAAAGAATGAGTTAATTAAGTGACTACCAGAGCAAACTCTTGCAAATTTGGATCAATCATTTCATAAGAGCTTTATTAAGTAAAAATGTATGTAACAATGTTAAACAATAATGTATTCCTATGCACACATACTATTATAATATTGGCTAAGAATATATGAATTCATCATTTTCTTGAAATGACATCCTGAACTTGACATTTCTGTTTTTCCAACTCTGGCCAAACATGATCCTCTTCTTACATAATTGCTTATGAGGGGCAGGCCAGATAGCTCAGGGGACTAAAGTGCCTGCTTAGGCAGACCCAGGGATAGAGGTTCAATCCCTGGTGTGCTGTGCCAGCCCTGCCCCCAGGGTGCACTGAGACAAGAGTGAGACTGGGCGTGGTGGTGCATTCCTGTAATCCCAGTGCTT